GCGGATGGGCTCGAGCTCTCACACTCTAATTTTTGAGGTCAGAAAAAGTACAGTAACCCATTGTAGCACGTATTACACAAAAAACCATTTTCGAAAGTTAAGAGAGCTGATCAATATTTTTAGGAAATTTTAGAAGCGAAGGTGAATGAACACAAATGTAATGAATAAATGACAAATACATAATTCTGCAAGATATTGGAATGATGTGAGAATTCATACGTACAGAAGAAAAAATACTAAATGTAATTCCACGAAGGTAATTTAAGGTCTGTGTTGCAATGAATTTGGTAAAAAATATGGAGGATCACTTCAAAAATACAAAAAAATATTAGTAAGAATACCGTTTGTATTCGAGAACAAAAGGAATGGACCCCGTTATCAAATCATTCCCTCGCATGTGAGAAAGAAATTTTAATTTGAGTGAGAGTAAAGACAGGTTCGTAGAAATTCGAATTTTTGGAAGTAGTTAGTGAGGTTGAAGTCGAGTTTCAAAGCAAAGTAATTTCGAAAAAAGGAGTAGTTGGAAAACTTGGGAAACTTACTAACGACACCTCTTCGTTTGGCTCAAATGTTTTTATGAAAGGGTTTGGCAATACCGCTCAAACTACGAATCCTTCTGTTACGACAAATGCTTCTACTTCCTATTCACTGAAAATTGCTAAACGGAGAATAAATAGTGAAGAAAGAAACAGAATTAGAAAAAATCAGAAAAGGCCTATAAATACGCTCTGTTCCGAATTGTTAATATGGAAAACTCAATGGAGTCAATGCAATATTGCAAGTTGCTACATAGTATAGGAAGAATCGAAACTAACAAACATCCCTTATATACCGTCTAGAGAAAAAAGCTTTCTCAGAGAAATCAATGAAAAAACAAGTTTCTCAACATATTGCCTTTTGTTCATATTTTATTCACCCACAGTGAAAGTAGAAAATTACAAGACAAAAAATATCCTAATAAGGTCATTACCTATAATATGTAGTAGAATTTCTAAACGTATAGTATTAGCTATTGCAGCTTGTATTCCTGTTGGAATTGTTTAAAATATCCTAATGCCTTTTTAGCTAAGGTATATTACTTATAATACAAAANTAAACACCTCGGTAATGATAAACCAAGAGAAATTCCAGATGAACACTGTTCATATATGTGCTTCAAATAATATGTACATGTAACAAAAGCTTAGGAGAATATCATAGGTAGGTTATTAAAGTGTTTTAATATTGTGCAAGGAAAAGATCCTAGAAACATTCTTTATAAAAGAACAATTTATTTAGGAATAAAATATAGAATAGACGCAGGTGTTCGTAGGAAAGAAATCAAACACAAACACAAACATACCTCAATATGATCACTGAAGTAGATGAGTATTCAAAGAAAAGTATAAAATAAGTAATACAAAAACCAATTGAATAATGAAACGTTTCAGAAGGTCACCATAATGAAATGAAACTCCCTTTGAAATAAATATCGTAAATAGTGTCAATGAAAATAAATTGCTGAAGGATCAAAATGAATTTATACTCTGCTTATTTAATAACGCTGTAATAATTATGGACTGAATTGTAAAAGCATTATACAACGATATTCCAAGGAAATTTGTATTACTCATAAAAAAAGCGCACGTAGCCATAGTTGCACTAACAAAAACATGACAAATCATTTGAATGAACTAGATATAAGAATCCACTCGATTTCTAAACATAACACAGTCTGTATAAGTAATCACATAACACCAAATAAAAATGCAGATTTACCAGCCATATGCTCTACCTAAAGTACATAAAACTTCAGTAGACTTCAGATCCATCACTGGAGTTTATAACGGCAGTTTTAAAAACCTTTAGCACTTGAAATACATACTGTTTTCAGTTTTGTTCAAAAAAAACATTTTATTAGCCCTACTAGGGCAGCGCAAGGAGGGAGTGGAACCACAAAACTTATGGGGCAATTAACAATGCTAATATCAGCTATGAACTGAACAATATTGGACGTAAAGTTCAAGAGCTTTCAGTGCTGACATTACGGATGTGTTCACAAGTTTGAAAAGTAAAGACATTACTATACACACACGCCCAATTCTAGAGGTTTGTTTTGATAATGCTAGCAAAACAAATACAGCTGTCAACGGTCATTTTTTTCTATTCAGATTGTTTTATCGAAAACCCTAATTTTATGTAGTATGAAATTTAGGGTCTGCGATACCTCGTTGGATAATAGGTTATGGCTATAGCGTTTTCGGTGGCCATATATTCAAACAATGGGGAGTATCACAGGGAGGTGATTTTAGCCCTCTGCTAGCAGATCTTACTCTATTTTATATTGTATCAGTTATGCAAAAGTTCCGCAAAACTTAAAAACAAAGTCCTAAATTTATTCCCTAATAGATATGTGGATGATTTCTTAATAAAACATGATCAATATAAAAGAGATGAAAGAGACTGATAAGTTCATTTATTTATTTATTTATTTATTTATTTATTTATTTATTTATTTGGTGCACGCTCAGGTGCGCTAACTACAACTCCACGATCACATTAAATCAACAACCTGCAGTCATTAAAGGAAAGTATGGTATCAAAAGCAGAAGGTAGAAAGATCTCCAGTCAGGTGCATTAAAGAGAAAAAGAATGAACTGAAGTAGGCACTACAGGAAGATTAGATAGGTACTACGAGCTGTATGCTTTATGATAATTGAAGAGCATTCACATTTGATTTCATTGGTGGATGGCGCTAGGGATAACGCCACTCCCAGACAAACACTAGCACACCTATGGATTTGGAGACCGAATTTTCGGATGTTAGGTATTTCATACCCCTACCAATTTACTGAAAGAAGTTTCTGAAGAAGTGTTATAACTAAAGAAAATCGCAGAATCGAAAAAACAGCAGTTGCTTGATTTAGCCAATGATATACAGTAGCGCTCAAAAACTTTCGGTGAAATGCTTTGACGCTTTTTCGTTCATAACATTTTCTTAGTAGACCAAATTGCGCGAAATTTAAATATGTTAAACTAATAGATCATATTTCACCCTACCCAACACAATTGTACTACGAAGCTGCAATATCCACAGATAGAGCAAGGTGTTTGTTGCAGTAGCGATTTTTCTAAGACTAAAGTTGTTGACATCTGCACTTATTCGCACCTTATGCGCGTGTTTCTCATCTATTGTGTTCGGCATTACCGCTCGTACACTTCAGACATGACAAGAAGGAAAGAGCTTCTAGAAGGGCCATAATCTGCATTTTCAGTCGATTTTGAGCTCATGCTCTTTGAAATGTCTGAAACATGAACAGATTACAAGTTAACAGTGGTAAATATTCACAATACACCCACGCTCAAAATATATTATAGAAATTTCGCATGATTAGATCCAGTAGGAAAGGAGTTACGACTGAAAAAAACGGCTGAAGAACAATTTCACCGAAGACTTTTGAGCGCTACCATATATATAAATATATAAATATGTTTATATATAACGATAATATAAATACTGAACTCTATAACAACAGGAAAAACAGCGATTCCGAAGTCAACAGATTTCCGTATTTTGATTATATTGGGTTGTACGAAAAGTTCCCGCCGATTTTTGATTCATCTTTAAATGAAAATACCTAGAAGAAGAAATCCATTGATCGAACAATATATCCTCCACTCTGTTCAGTAAGGAGCGCCATCTTCCTGTAGGTTCCAGTTGCCTTCTTCCTTAGAAGGTTCCCTACTTAAAATCGAAAAGCCCTCGCAGGTGCTATTTGCAGTCCTCCAGCGAATTGAACGATTTTCCATTCAAAGAATTTGCAGAAACCCAAACAAGTGGTATTCTGATGGTGCTATGTCTGGACTACATGGGGGGTGTGGTAAGACATCCCACCCAAGCTTTAGCAACTTTTGACGAGTGGCCAAAATTACGTGTGGTTGGAGGTACCCTTTTGGAAGATTACGCCCTCACGATTGGCCACTTCGGGTCGCTTTTGGTCTATCGCTGCCTCCATATTTTCTAGCTAACTATAGTACCTTTCCGAAGTCATCGTTTGTTTATGCGACAACAGCTCATGGTAAGTGATTTCCCTGAAATCCGATCAGCAACTCGGCATAGTCTTCCGCACCTGGATTTTGACTTTTGCAGCGGTTTGTGACGGCTCACTAGGGGGCTCCACGATCATTTCCGCTCCTCATTGCTGTACACAATCCAATTTTTGTCCCTCGTGCTCATGCGTATCAGAAACGGCTCATTTACATTTCGTTTGAGCAACAAGTCGCACATGGAGGCGCGATCCGTCGCATTGCGCTCGCTCATTTCGCGAGATATCTAAAGATCAAGGCGTTTTACAAAACCAAGTGTCTGCAGATGGCCATGAATGGTTAATTTCGAAACATTAAGCCCTAGTCCTACTCCACGAGCAGTGATGTGCCGATTTGCTTCGGTTAACATTTTGAGTTGATCATTTAAACTGACGATAGTCTCCCTAAGGGTTGCCGGTCTTCGAAGGCAAATTCACTCTGTTTGGATTTCGCAAACTAGTCATGCACTGTACGTTCCTCTAGGGCATGGTCTACTCAAACCTCATATATCTTTCATGCGGCTAGAGCCGCATTCTAGGCCTTGCGGTAGAAGAAATACTTCAGATGTCGAAAATGCGCGCAGTGGTTCTCCATTTCCATACGAGTCCTGTACAGACAAACTTTGTCAAATGTTGACAGAATCCTAACAGGAATATAGAGGAGGACCTGCTTTTTCAGAAAACATATAACTTTATTAGGTTGAGTCATTGATCTTTTGTACAACGGCTGATAAATCCGTGGTGTCAAAAACCGGCGGAAACTTTTCGGACAACCCAATAATATATCCAAATAACAAAGGTTTGATCATTTATACAAAAACTTCGAGCATTGCAGCAATGCCCATATTTGTAATCAATATAGCACTTTCATAGAAAGTTTGAAGAAAACAAGAAATATACATCGTTATTGATGTGAGAGAGCTTATACAATGCTACTTGACAGGAACAATCTTGATACGATTACCCCTCGTTGCTGCGCAGCCACACCTTACGCGTACACGATCCTCATCCTCTGTTACAATTGTTCTTTGATAATCATTGTCTGAGGGGCTATGGGATCAATGGGTGTACAATTCCTGTTCTCCCGTCTCGTTAATAACGTTATCAACAAAGAATTTGCAGATTAGCAACATGGCAAGAGCTCGTAAACTCGCCAGGTGATTTGCGACGCTGACATCGAAGGATCACACCTAATGGGAAAAGGAGTGCAAGGTAGGAGGCGTAAAAGGGGAATGGATTAGGCTGAAGTAGTGTAGAATGGTATATTGTGTAAGGCTCTATCTCAAATTGGTGCTCCACTTTTACTTAACCATACTGTATATAATGCACTTCGATGAGGTTAATATGACTTGATTTTTTTTCACTCTCGCTCCTCATGAATTTGCTAATACAGTTTTATGCCCTCATTGGAGCCCATGCTCTACAGCTCTTGCTTCCAGCGACCCTTCCAGCAATCTGAATCCAGAAAAACATGAATACCTTGCATGGAGACATGTTTTGACGTTTTGTTTTGACGGAAAGTAACTACACATCGAAAAAAGATGCCTTCTATAAGGAAGTGACTAGTAATGAATAAAACTCAAAGTTAATATTTGATTTGGGATCACCTTGTGATACGAGATGTCCGAATAGAATATGAGGAAACGAGTAAAGAAGAAAAGCATTCGCAAGTAAAGCCGTCTGCCATATTGTGAGGGTGACCTGAAATCATAATCTTTCTCAACCGCATTTTGGCTCCGGGTAGAATTTAATGGATTGGAATGAATTATTAAAGAGCTACTATTATCTACTTGAAGAAAAATTTGAATGGAAAAACAGAGCGATTGACATTGTTGCTTTTCCATCAGATCAATCCTTCAGAGCACTGAACGACCGATGAAATCAACACTGTAGACAGCGGGAAGCCTAGAGGGAGCGACATTTCACTAGCCCACATTGTTATTCTTCCCGTTGCGACAGAATGACTGACCTTCGCATCAGAGAAGGAGGTTCAAAATAATGTGAAATGGTTAGTTCTAAAAAGTATTGTTCAAGCAGTTACCAGATTTGTCTAAACCAACGGCTGTTGGTTTAGACAAATCTGGTAACTGCCAGAAAAATAGACCTCTTCGAAATTTGCTCATTCATTCGGCGGAAATGGTACAACTCGAGCGTTCGGATTGTGAAAAAGCTTGTGTGCTTTCGAAATGCTTATTAATTGGCACGATTAACTGGCGGTTCTGTTGAGATTGCGCATCAAAGCAGATGAGAGAATGTTCCCGTGTGTAATTGCTTACAATATTGGTATACCGATTGCTCAGTCATTTCGCACAAACATGGGATCGTATATCAAGAATTCATGTGTATACCTGTATAGTTCTAGCTGCGAGCCGCTGATATGGATAGGAAGCGGTGCAATGTTAAGAGCCATGGCTGGATTGGAAACAATTGCAGAATGAAGTAAGACCTGGCTACGGCAAGCTCAAGGGGAGTAGAAAATATTCAGAGAGAGTACAAAAACGCTGGTGAGGTTCATTTGTAATTATCTTGAAAAGATCAACATCGCTTCGTTTTCTAGTTTTGTCCTAGCTCAATAATGGATTGCGACCAATGTTTGAGCCTTCGAAAAGAAGAAGAGTTCAAAATGTTAGATCACTAGAGTTTCCGAAGGGTAAAAGTTATTCGAACAGCGGCTTCGAAATTTCACTCGCAAAGCTTCTGTGATCCAGGAACGCTAAAATGTATTACCTATTCGCTTTAAGTGATGTCAGTCGCTACAGTGTGAGAACAAACTGCCGCGGAAGCTTACTGGGTTCTTCTGAAGGTGATCGTTTTCATTCGTTCATTCATTGTGAATACGAAAGGTTAGCGAGACAAGGGCGAAATTATGGTGAGTCTCAGTGAAGCAGTGCTTTGAAAAACCACAGAAGTGCAGCAAAAGCTGATGAATCGTTTTTTGTAAAGCTCCAAACTCCATCCCCAAAAAAACTTGTGGAGAAATAGTAAGATCTTGAAGAAACAACTACTCACCTAGACTCAAATTGTTATCAGTAGATAAAAATATCATAACAAAAAACAGACCACAAACATACCAAGTAGTACTGAATAGCAGGGGCACTGGACCGTTCGCATCGTAGAAATACGTAGATGGAGAAAAGATTAAGCGATATTCCCGTAAAGACGACAAACGCTGTCAAGTATGCGTTGAGTATATGCGAGATCATGTGTAAGAAGGAGGTGAACAGCGTTTCTTCTTCAGACCGCATTTAGTCCCAGTGATGCACACTGAAAGAAGGAAATTATCGCTGAAAATTTCAAAAGTGGTTCGAGGAGCTCCAGTAGGTGGTGATCGCGTGGTACCCAGAGAGCCTTTCGATGTTCATGCCCCTGATTCTTGTTGTTGAAGTGATGAGAAGGAGAAGGGAGACAGATTAATCGCCTAACGCAGCTGGAAACATTTATGGCCATGACGTTCATCGATGGCGCCTATGACTTTGTGGGTGATGATCGGTGCCGAAGGTGTTCACTTTCAAACACATGTCTTGAAGTGAACGTCTTCAGCGTTACTTGTTGAAGAAAATTCACTACTTTCGCAGATCATGCACCAATCGCAGTAATGTAGGACGCCATGAACGAGGGACCTTGTTGTTTATCTTGTACACACAAAAAACACGAAGGTAACATTGATATAGGTGAGCTTTGCCTTTCGTAGGGAATGGACAGCTTTACAAGTAACAATTCGATAATCAGCAATGACTCAGAAAAGTTAAAGTTGGATTGCAGTTGTTGGCATAAATCGCTCGATACCCAAGACCCTCTTTCTAAACAGTGTTGTCGCACCCCACAAGAACTTTACTAGTGGGCGTACGGTATTCGCAGCTTACTACGTGTGATTAGATCGATATCGCTACAAACTGTTACAAACTGCCACTCGGATCAAGTCAATAGAGATTTTCGTATCTGTTTTTCAGTCAACTTTCATTGAATGGAAATATAGTTACTTAGCAGTTGGTATCCCTGCTTGATGTTACGGGCTTGAATCGCTAAAAAAAATATGCTGATAATATATTTTCGTTCATAATGAATGACTCGTTGCAGGGTCATACCGAAGAAAAACTGCTTCGGCTTCACTTATAACCAAAGAACAATGGTCTAATAATCTACATTTGCTGTGCTTCCAAGGCAGCTCTGTTACCAGTCGTTTTAACTCGAGAATATGAAAGGCATAGGTCAGCATCAGATTACAATATAATTTTTATACGACTGTCGTCGCAAGGTTATCGAGTTCCGAACTAACTGAAACAGGACTTACTTGTAGTTTTTATTGGTATTTGTCGTGTAGGACCCCAGGGTTCTTGAGCTTCATGTTGAAGTTTTTCATGTCATTGCTGGGAATGTATACAACTTTAGTTTGATAAAAAAAACAGAAAGGCAAAATTATAAACCAATAACATATAGTGTGTCTGCACCATTAGGATAAATCCAGATGCAATGCTTCATTGGAAGAATCTAGGGCAATTCGGTTTTTCATTTGTCAACGTGTTTTTTTGACTGCGAAGCTCATTGCAACTAAAAGCTCAGACCACAAGGGTGATATACCGGATTTTCCCAACAAGTAATTTAGGAGCAACCTGCACATTGGCAAAGTTTCAATTCATGAAACAACGTTATACACGTTTTCCAGAACACTCATTGCTATCATCAGCACCTGCACCTGAACAAAAACGCCAACTGAGGCAAGCAGACGTCATATCATGAAATCTTGAATTACACGCATATGATAGCTGTATATTATAATCTGTGCATGGTATTTACTGTGAATAGGATTAGCTCTATGTAGGTGCTGCGTAGTCCAGCAATGACAGGAGACAATCCATACAAGTCTCAAGATTGTAAGGTAAATAACTATGCTAGCACGCGAAGCATCCTCATCGACAGATTGGTGCATTTCAATTAAATAGATGAAAAGCTGTTAAGCTCGGTTCTACAGATAGCGACTATACAACTGAATCTTTTCTCATAAATGTTCCTAGGCTTTTCTGCACAAGTTAGACGTGAGCGAAAGAATTAATTTCCCACCAAGCTTACCATTCAAAATCAGCTTCGATAATATTGTACGGTGATGAATGCAGGGATGTTGAAAGCAAGATTTTACTTTTGTTGTAATGATGCATAGAAAAGACGAGTAAGTGTGGATGCGAGGATCGTTAAGACTATTCTCAATGAATAAGAGTAATACTGTCAAGAGAATGTGATTTGTTCAAGAAAAAAGAATCACACATCTAGTCAGCTGAAAATCTGTAAACACTCAAATAAACAAGCCGCCTAGTCCGACCCTTCATTAACGTCGGAATGAAGTGATTTCTCGAACACTTCCGGTAGAGATTGGTCAATAAATTTTAATTCAGTTATGGGTAAATGGTTACGTAGTTAAATTCTCCTTATGTCCCGTAAAGCGTTAAAAAGTTGGGGACGCAAGTGGAAGCATCATCTAAGTAGAAAAATCATGGACCCTTCGAACACAATGGGATCTACCTAAAAAAAAGTGCCCCATCCTGAGTTTTGGCTAGTTATAAAAAGCGAAAAGCCGAGCTGTTCCTTCATCGGATGCATCGTACATATGACTTGCAACGGAAATCTTTCTGCTTCTACAGTGAAACGTTGACGTGGCTGGTTTTGATAAATCTACGAGCCCATTCCCTCGAGGGTGAATTATGGTCATCCGCCTCCATCTCATTATTGTTAAAAACCTCTGCTAGACGACCTCGCCCCATCTCGATTTGTCAAGATTTAGCGTGTTCACTAATGCACGCAAAAATATAATAAATAAATAAATCTCAATATTATTATGGTGAGTTCAATCACGCGGTAGTATCAAAACATATACAAATAAGCAAATCCAATTAATCTCATGCAATTTCTTAAGACCGACAACCAGTCTGTCTCGTGGGACGAAGTTGGTCAATGGTGACCTACAGTACTGTAAGTCGGCCAAATGAAGAAGTTCTGAGTTTTTTTTTGTTTTATATTTTACATTTACTTATTTACTCACTAACTTTAGCGTCGACCCATGATCCATCTAAATCTGAGGTTTTTATGGAAGTATTAAGTATCGGGTCAAGAGCCATACATCATATCAGATAACAATTAAAATTTGAACTCCCTCCAACAATTGGCGCCTTACCTCTAATCTTGTTCACGCCAAACGTTTAAATAGTGTTTTCTATGAATGTTCACGATGCAAAGCCTCATATACCGAAATGGTCTACAAAGCCTATGATTTTGGAGAATTCACCCAAATCTTGACAGAATACAAGTTTTTCTTATGTTTCCAGGAGTTCTTACTTGTTTTACACAAACGGAATCTTATTACTCATGAATACAGCAAATTCAATAGGTGTCTGTTCCGTGAGACGAGATCCGCCAATGGTAACCGACGATTAGTCAGCACCGACTGTAGCGAACGGAAATACGAGTCGTAAAGGCCAGCGAGAGATTCTAAACTCATTAATCCGATTTCAACGTGATTTCATTAAGAACTCCCTAGACTCTCTAGATTCTGAATATACTCGGTACTATGCGTCGGAATCACTCTCACAATCTGATGGCCAAAGGCGAAGTTATCACGCATCCCATTATCCTGCATCTGATATACGACCTGCTTGCATGACTACTTTGACCGTTCCCACATTGTATGGTCCTCGTGAGTTATCTAATGACGAAAATGTTACATAGGTCAAATACCTACCCTGAGGTGTCCGATATCCAAAAGAGTCAGATAATTAGGCGGACCCTCCAAAGATGTATGATGTACTCTGTCAGAGAACAACTCACGTTCACTGCATTGTGACAGGGTGCTGCCGTAAAGATGGCTAGAAAGAGCTCCTCGTTTTTATATTCCTCCATTGGACTTCTCAAAATGTAATTTAGTACAATTAACCTTTCATATTCCATGGAAATTGCACTATATTGTGAGTAGCAAAGCGTAACGAGAGGGGTGAAGTTATTTCTAGAAAACTGTTAGATGCTACAACTCACTAATGATAAATAAGCAATTCCAACAGTATCTCACGGGAAATCAGATTTTTATAAGGGTTCCGGTCTGACTGATATGTTCTGCATATATTAAGCCCATAATCCCTTCCAGGTTTTCATTGGAACTGCCCACTACATTTACAAACCCAGCATCAATTCCCTCCCCCCAGTAAACGCGACGTCAGGAGGAGGAATCGAGCTCTACGAAAAATGACACAAAACCTAACATTACTATTTATTTTCCTACTATGCGGCGTGTAGGGTTGAATTTTCCGACGTTTCCAACTAGTATAATTCCCAGCAAGATTGCAAAGGTCATGACGACTTATATCTTGATTACACTCTCTACCCCTGAACAGTAGATTCTGAAAGAAGTTGAGTGCTTGGCGTCTTGATCAAAAACCAACCGCTTCACTATTCGGTCGAGAAGAATCTCGGGAAAAAAAAGGAGGGTCGAAGCAAGACAAAAGAAAAAATAGACTGTGGAAGGCATTCCACGAAATTCCGCTCAAAATAAGTGAGCAGAAATGGCGAGCCACACGTTCAACTTGTTCCTGAGTCTCAACTCATTTGAAAAGATTCGTACTGAGAAAGCTCCTCCCAAAACATCAGATTTTCTCGTACTCGACAGAAAGCACAGCTGCGTGTTACTCCGCGAATTGATTCAAGGTATAGTTCCAGCTTCAAGAAACAAGCTCTTGAGCCCTAAATTGAGGGCACACACTTGATTTCAGGTAACTACCGATTGTCCTGTTAGCGAACAAATCATTATTGTTAGCGTTTCTCTGTCAGCTTAGAGTAGTTGCATGATTTGAAGCGCTAGCGTAAAGGAATAACAGCAGTAGGTAAAGGCGTATAACATACTTTTGAAGTATTACATGGGTATTGGGGATTCGAGGGCGAAGGGCTTTTTCGCCTGCTCATACTACGAATCGGATCCCCATTAGCATCAATTTCCGAAACAATCGTCTAAACATGTAAGACTGCCAAAATTCCCAGTGAATGAACTCGCATAACGTAAATATTTACAGCTTTTCCAGCATCCATGAAACAATCTGAATTTGTACAGTACGGAGTGTAAATAAATAAACATAAGGAGATACTTTCTTTCGAAGCAGCGAAATGGTGACAGACGTCATGGATCTTACCTTTTCAGAATCGCATAGGGATTTTGAGGTAGGGCTACCTCGTAGAGTAAGCCTGAAGACGCTGATCAACTAATTATTCCTTC